AACCAATGGAAAAGGAAGACCTTTCTCTCTGTCTCTCTCTCTTACTGTCCACTCCGCCTGTCCAAAAAAAAAAAAAAACACACACACACAACAAGGGGCTGGCGTTGTGGCTTAGTGGATAAAGCTGCCATCTGCAGTGCTGGCATCCCACATGGGCACTGATTCAAGTACCCACTGTGCCACTTTGATCAACTCCCTGCTAATGCACTTGGGAAAGCAGTGGAAGATGGCCCAAGTGCTTGGGCCCCTGCACCCGCGTGGGAGACCTGGAAGAAGCTCCTGCCTGCTGGCTTCAGTCCTGCCCTGCCCTGGCTTTTGTAGCCATCTGGGGAGTGAACCAGCAGATGGAACATCTCTGTCTCTTCTGTTTCTTTCTCCATCCCTCCCTCTGTAACTGTATCTTTCAAATAAATAAATCTTTTTTTAAAAAAAAATACAACATTTCAGAAATTTGAGGGGAAAAAAATCACCTACCCATAAAATTATCGTTACTGCTTTTTATGTCTTTTTTTTTTAGTAATGTAGTTGTAATTATACAGGATATTGTCAGTTAAACATTTCTCCATGTTGCTACACAGGCTTTGCAGTTTTATTTACATGACTGACTAATGAGTGCCCTGTGAGTGGTTTCTCTTTATTTGGGAGGTGAAGACATGAGACAAGTGCCAGGAGGTTTTTGCTGTCTTTTCTGGGAGCCGTTTGCATCCTTGAGCCATGGCCGTCAGGTGAAAGATCGGCAGTGACTTAATGAGGTCTTGGGAGCCCGGCTGCCTCAGGACCACGCTGTAAGGCAGGTGCATCCGAGCAGAACACACAGCTTGTTTTGTAGGGCCTTTTTACAAATACTAAACACCCCCCCCACACACACACACACAGAGTAACCATGAATAGTTTGTTAGGTAGAATACTTCTTAGAACAAAGACAACAAAAATACAAGCTGTTTCTAATTCATGAATAAGTACATTTGTCCCCTTAATCTGGTCTGAGAGGTTTACATCTTAGCTCTGTAGGATTTCAGAAAACCGTCTTCACCAGTGAAGTCCTTCCTTCCCTGAACTAACTGTCGGAAGCTCACCAGGCTCTCTCCAGCACATTCCACAGACGCTGCTTTTCCCTTTACAGTGGCCCTGCTCTGCCTTCCAGCTGCAGAGGCGTTGCCATGTGCTTTAAGGGTCTGTTTGCTTACTTTATTTATTCCTCGTTGCATGTAAATGAGGCATTAAAATTCAAGCAAAATTTAACATCACCTTAGGTTTTCTAGAGTTGACTTTCTTTATCCACTTTTCTGTTTCCCTGAGTGTAACCCGGGGTCCCTGGAGCAGGTTTTCATTTTGTTGCCTTTGCCTTTGCCTACGGGGGATGCCTGTGTTGGCCTGGGCCAGGGGCTGCAGCTCTCCTCAGATCCCAGTGGCCACGGGTCCTGCCTGAACTTCTCCCCCAGCAGCACTCCCTCCCTCAGACTCCTCAGATGCTAATGTTCTCAAACTCCATCTCTCCCCAGTCAACAGTTACAGCAGCCGCAAGTCCGTTATCTGCTCTGGGTGCAATTACTTGGCCGCCACCTGGACTGGGAGGTTTTCGTGAGCCCCAAAGAACTCATATCCTGAAGAGAGAGACTAATCAAGGCAGTCTCTTGGCAGGGACATTGAAAGGGTGGATTACAACTGATAGGGGTTTTAATTTGTGAGGACTTAATCTGATCTGCCTTGGGAACAAGATAGTGTAGATGCACTTATTGTCCATTTTCTCGGGACAGTCTTTGAAGATTCATTTGATTGCTTGGTGATAGTATTGTGAGAAGGACACAGAACTTTATTACACGAGGCTGCCTCTCCCCTTTACCTGCCTGATGCCCAGAGGCCCTGAAGGACCCAGTTAGCCTGCGGTGTGCGAAGGGCAAGGATGACTAATGTCTCAGAGGGCGCCGTGTGTGGCAGTCTGGTCTTCTGCTCGCTGAAGGCTCCTTTTGAGAAGGCAAATGCTGAGTTCCCCAGAAGCACTTAGGGAGCAGTGGGAAGTGGTACTGGTTGGCCGTTCAGCTGACAAGAACCTGGTGATGCTAGAGTGGATTCTGCCTGACTAACACCCGTGCAGCCAGGGGCCTAAGTGGATAATCAGGACAGAGAGCAGAAGAGCGCAGACCCCAGGGTCAGCTGTGTCCTCCCTGCCTGTGTCCCCCACTGAGAAGAGGCTGTGGGATCAGTCCCTCAGGCTGCATTTCCTGTCTAGCATCTTTTCAGGGCATATTCTTTTTGAACATAAACACACTGCGCCACCCTAGGGTGGGCTGTCCTTGGCTGCAGGCAGAGGTGAGAAGCTGAATTGGGCACAGGTGACCTTACCCAAGCAGTTGTTTCTTTAGGTTAAGTAGTGTCCTCTGCCACACCATTTAGATTGCAAAATTGGATGTACCATTGTGTTGCCTTTTAATTATTTTAATCAGTCTTGTCCTAAAAGCAGCAGGTGTCAAAGTGTAGACTGGGTACCCCTAGAAGTCCCTAGGGCCCTTTTAAAGGGTCTACAAGATCTTTCCTTCAATAGAGGGTCTGTGTGACGCCAGGTTGTCTTTATGTACTTCAGCCAGAACAATGTGCTGCAATGGCGTGTACACAGATATGAGAATCCCACTATCTCCTACAAAGCCAGACACTGAACGTAAGCCAGTGTCACTTTCCTAACTTAAAACAAGTTTTTGTTTTAGAAAATACATTTTCCTTAAAATATACTGTTTATATTTATATTTTTAATTTTATTTTAAATAGGTTTTTAAATTATTTATCTATCTATTTATTTAATTTTAAAGGCAGAGAGAGCTATCCACTGGTTCACTCCCTAAATGCCCACAACAGCCAGGGCTGGGCCAGACCAAAGCCAGGAGCCAGGAACTCAGCCTGGGTCTCTCAGGGGGTGGCAGGGACCCGAGTACGTGAGTCATCACCTGCTGCCTCCCAGGTTGCTAGCAGGAAGCTGGAATGGAGAGCCAGAGCTGGGACTTGGACCCAGGGACTCCAGAGTGGGATCCCAAGTGATAGCTGAACCACCACACCAAATGCCCACCCCTGAGGAACATGTTTAACTTTCTTTTGTAATTTCTGATGTAGTGTCAGTAGATACAGCCTACCTTTTTATTTTCCTAAGATTTATTTTTGTATTTGAAAAGCAGAGTTACAAAGAGGCAGAGAGAAAGAGAGGGAGGGAGAGGGAGAGAGGGGTGTCTTCCATCTGCTGGCTCACTCCCCAGATGGCTACAATGGCCAGAGCTGGGCCGATCTGAAGCCAGGAGCTTCTTCTGGGTCTCCCACACAGGTGCAGGAGCCCAAAGACCTGGACTATCTTCCACTGCTTTCCCAGGCCATAGCAGAGAGCTGGATTGGAAGTGGAGCAGCTGGGACTCGAACTGGTGCTCATATGAGATGCTGGCACCGCAGGTGGTGGGTTTACCTGCTACACCACAGCGCCAGCCCCGATACAGCCTACCTTAACATTTAGGGTTCCTCAGTAATTTCAAGACCCTTAAGGGACCTTCAGTCAAGAAGTTGGAGGATGCTGCACTGTCAGACCCTCTGGAGAGAAACAGCTACATCCTCTACCTCTCCCTGGGTCTTCCCCGGTGGGACATGGTAGTAGAACACAGGCCTAGATTCACACAGACACTTGGAGAGAAAACGGGCTGCAGTGTCTCACAGATGCAGCAGGTGCCAGACATGGTAAGATGGTGGTGGCTGCAGGGAGGGTCCTGTGAGTCCTTGGTGTCTGCACAGTGCTCCTTGTACACAGTTATGTGCTCCGTGTCCCCGCCCTGGCCCAGTGACCCATTCTTCTTTCACATAGGCTCACTTTATTTAGTCTCGCATGTTGATTTGGCTCTTCATGTTAGCAGCAGCTTAGGTGAAGTATTTTTACCGTGTGAGTTTTTGAAAGTGTTCCTGAAGGGAGCCTGTGTGGCTGGGGTGGAGCCGGGGACACCGGTGATTCTTGTTGATGGCAAGAGGCAGGCTACTCAGATGGCGACCTGACGATGCTGCACTTCTCTCTCAGCCCAGTTCTTCCCGTGGCGTTAGCACAGGGCTACTGTGGACAGCTCTGCCCACTGGAGAAATCCCTAAATCCTAAATCCTAGGGCCGTACTGAAAGGACAGCGTGCGCAGCTCTCTGCGTCTTGATTCTGCCTGATCCTTGTCAGATTTCCTCCTGGCAGAGCAAGCACTGGTGATCATTTGGCCCACACAGTCTCATCTGAACAAAAGTGTTTACCTAGGAATGATGACGTGGCCCCATCTAGATGGCTCTAGCAGCTTAGCCAGTTGCCATGGGAATGTAGGATAGAGAGGGAGGGAGGAGAACAGCCAGTGTCTCTGGGAGCAGGGGAGAAGATCCCGTGTGCTTGCCCTTGTCACGCTCAGGAGGCACCCCCAGGTGTGGCTGTGTGAACGAGAAGCATTTCCACCTGCCTGCTGGCACTGGGTCACGGTCAGCAAGCCCGACTCTGGGCATGTCAGCTAGTGACTGCACCCCAGCCATGCCTGTCCTGTCTGCCTCACAGACTTGCAACTTAGTTTCGATGAGATTACAGATGGACAAGCTGAAAAACACTACAAGTGCTGGTTTTGTAAAAGGTTTAGTTTTTGGGAATTTTTTTCCCACATCTTAATTTATTTGAAAAGCTGAGAAAGAGCTCTCCATGCACTGCACCCCCGAAACGTCTTCAGCAGGGGCTGGTCCAGGCTGAATCCAGGAGCCAAGAACTCAGTCTTGGTCTCCTGTATGAGTGACAGGGACCCAGGTATGTGGGCCAGCCCCTCCTACCTCCCGGGTTGCACATTTAACAGGAGCCAGGGTTGGGAGCAGAGCTGGAACTCCGATATGTGGGCACCTGTGCATCGTCTCAGCCCCTGCGCCAAACACCCACCCCCGGTAGAGGTTTCTTCGTAGCAGCAACAGGATCCTGCTGTCTGTCCGTTTCCCTCTGGACTCATGTGGCTTCTGTTCTTTCCTCCAGGTTACCTGTGCATGACAGACGAGTGGTTCTCTGAGTACGTCTACGAAGTGGTGGTGGACAGGAAGCATGTCCCTGAAGAGGTGCTAGCCGTGTTAGAGCAGGAGCCCATTGTCCTGCCAGCATGGGACCCGATGGGGGCTTTGGCTGAGTGATGCTGCCCCTGACTCTTGCCTCCTCCCTTGGGACCTGAAGTTGCTGCAAAGGACATCCAGGGGCTGACGCCAAAATTACCTAGGTGACTGTGTGTTCCCACAGGACACGTCAGACTTTTGGATTTCCAGTCTCCTCCAGGAGCCTCTTCGGGGAAGTGTGCTTTATGCTGAAACAGAATATTCATAAAAAAAAAAAAAAAGGGAAAGATCAGGTCATTCTATCTTCTCTCTTCACCTGCAACAGCTCAGGATCTCTTAGCATTTTAATCAGATGTGAGCGTTTGCCTTCACTCTGGCGAAAGGGTTTGATTCAGTGTCTGTGTTTTAATAAGACAGGCGAGGATGAGAGTGAGGTGTCTGGAGAGGAAACAGACCTAATGCTTCTTCTTAGCATACAGCAGGGGGAGGGTCACCTGCCGTTTGAGCTCACAGCACTGCACGCTGCCTGGCAGTAGCACTGTCCCCCCCAGAAGGCAGTCACTGAATTCGGTTTCTTCAAGGTAACTTCATGTGCCTCTAACAGCCCAAGAGTGGGAGGTTGATCAGGCCTGACATGATTCCTTCCTGTTGTTCTGAACTGTGGGGCGCTCAGCTCTACTTGGGTTTAAGCAGAAGCTTTCTAGAGAAAGCTGGGTGAGAGAACAGCCGCAAACCTTATCATGATCTCAATTATAATCCTTCGGGGGCTCTAGCCACGCGGTTTAATTCTGCCTCTGATCGGGGGTCGGGTGGGCAGGAAAAGGCGATATCCATTCTTTCTGACAACTGGATGGTGCTGAGAAGCTTTTGAATAAAACACTTTACTAAATGAGAATACGCTGGCTGGATCTGAGAAGTGCGGGTTAGCTGTGAATGGAAGCAACCAGGTGGCTCCTGATCGTCAACGGGGAAACACGAGAGGGCCCAGGGCTTGCCTGCCTCAGCCTCTCTGCAGGGCATTCGCTTCCCAGCCTGCAGGTGCCCTCGCAGCTCCTGCAGAGGGCTTCCCAGCACCGTGTCTCAGGCCTGTGCCTTGCCGCCTCGTCATTCTTCTGCCCAGGTCCAGGGTCCCTGCAAGGGTGGAAGTGAGACTCCGTTGGGCCTGGCCTTGGTTAACCTGGGGCCAGAGAACCCGTATGGTGTGAGACTGGGTCTCCTTTCACTGAAAGCAATAGAGCACCCGGTCTGCATCTCCCAGCAGCACCCGTGCCCCTACCATTCTGAATCTAGCCCAGCTGGAGATGCCGTCCATCCCAGCACTGCCTGAGGCAACGTTAGATAAAGGCTCAAGCTTCAACCATAGGGCTTATATCCCAGTAATTTTGTTCCATTTCTGAACACATTATAGTAAAACTGCAAAACACATCCTAAAAGCATTCAAGAAGGAAAGAGTGTCCTGTGTTGTGGCACAGCAAGTTAAGTGGCTGACTGCGATGCCAGCTTCCCACATGGGTGCCACTTCAAGTCCCAGCTGCTCCACTGCCAATCCAGCTTCCTGCAGTGCACCTAGGAAAGCAGTAGAGGGTGGCCCAAGTACCTGGGTTCCTGCCACCTATGTGGGAGACCCCAGTGGAGTTCCAGGCTTCTGGCTTCAGCCTGACCCAGCCTCAGCTATTGAGGCCTTTTGGGGAGTCAATCAGCAGATGGAAGTTCTCTCCTCTCTCTAACTCTGCCTTTCAAATAAATAAATCTTGAAAACAAAAGATGATATAAAGAAAAGACAATTAGATTGATAGCTAACTTCTCATCATTAATATGTGCTAGAAGATGGTGAAATATCCTCAAAGCACGATGAGAACTTAACTATGAATCTAGAATTCTGTACTCAATATCTTCTAGGAACAGGGCGAGATAAAGAACATCTTCAGGAAAAAACTGAGTGTGGGTGGGTGTTTGGTGCAGAAGTTGGGATCTTTACATCTGACTCTGCTTCTGATTCCATCTTCCTGCTGGTGTAGACCCTGGAAGGTATCAGTGATGGCTCAAGAGAAGTTGAGTCCCTGCCACCCACGCTGGGGACCCAGATTAGATCTGGACTCCTGGCTTCAGCCTGGCCCAGCTCTGGCTATTGCAGGAATTGGAGGAATGGTAGAGGATCTTCCTTTGTGTCTTTCTGTCTCTGTGCCTTCCAAATAATATGAAAAATAAAGTGTTTTTTTTTTTTTAAACCAACTTGAGGTGCTACAAAGACTACTTATTCTACAAGCAGCACCCTGAATGACCTCTAAGTAATACCTATTTTTTAAAAAGATTTATTTATTTGAAAGAGAGGAGAAACAGATCTTCCATCTTCTGGTTCACTCCCCAAAGGGCTGCCATGGCCAGAACTGGGCCAGACCAAAGCCAGGAGCCAGAAGCTTCTTTTGGGTCTCCCACATGGCTGCAGGGACCCAAGGACTTAGGCCATCCTCTACTGCTTTCCCAGGCCCTTAGAAGGGTGCTGGATTGGAAGAGGAGCAGCCAAGACTTGAACGTTTACCCATATGGGATGCCGGCTCTGCAGACGAGAGACTAACCCTCTGCACCACAGTGCCAGTCCCAATGGTTGTTTTTTAAACTGGGCTTCTGCCGAAAGAGGTGAAGTGATCCCACATGGAAGGTTTGAAATGTGTTAAAGACTGTGGAGCAAATAAAGTGACTAACACGTGGCTGACCTAAGCAGGCAGTGACCACAAGTTAAGTCTTGCAGGGTTCAGAAAAGGAGAAAATGAAGACATGAAAGTAGCAGAAGACGAGGGAAGGCGGTGATTGGAGTGAACATGTTCTGAGGACCTTGGTGTAGACTTAGGCATGTTGGCATGTGTTAATTTCTAGATTAACTGCTACAAAACAAGCAGATACTAATAGCTTCCAATCAAGAATAAATAGAACAAGGAAATATAATCAATTTTTAAGAAGATAAGATAGGGAAAATAGAGGCAGGACAAACACAATGTCCAAAATAAGATTGTAGAAGTACACTTAAATGTGTCAGTAATTACTAGATGTATAAATATGTAACACCAAGGATGACTATATATCTATATCTATATATATCTCCCTTTGGGTTGATTCTAGGACCCTCTGAGGATTCCGGAATCCGTGAATGTTCAAATCGCCTGCATAAAGTGGCACAGTGTTTGCATGTGACCTGTGCAGGCCTCTCATGTTACCTCTTAAGTACTTACACTACCTGCCTTGTAAATGTTAAGTAGTTGTACTACCTTGTGATGGAAGGAACGTCCAGGGAAAAGTCTGTACACTCTGAGTACAGATGCAGTTTTCTTTCAGATTGTTTAAAGATTTATTTATTTGAAAGGCAGAGCAACAGAGGAAGAGGAAGAGAGAGATCTTCCATCCTCTGATTTGGTCTTCAAATGGCTGGGCCAGGCCAAAGCCAGGAGTAAGGAACTCCATCCACGTCTCCCACATGGGCGGCAGGGACCCAAATACTTGAGTCATCATTGACTGCCTTCCCAGGCTCATTAGCAGGAAGCTGGCTTGGAAGCAGAGGAGCTGCTACTTAAACCGCACTGCAGTATGAGATGCAAATGTTGCTAGTGGCACCTTAAGCCGGTGTGCTACAACGTCCACCCCAAAAATGAATTTTCTAAAAGAAGCAAATTAAATTTCTGGCAAGACAGAAAAAAAAAAAAGCTCACAGAATGTAAAAGGATATTATAGATGCTTGCAGATATTTGAAAAATAGAAGATACTAAGAACTTCATCAAAAGCAACAGTAGAGGACTGTTTAGGAGATACCAGTCCACAGGTGCAGGAAGAACCGAAGAGGCAAAAACAGTGTTGGAAGCAGGAAAGCAGAGGGGGTAACTGAACGACTTAGCAGAGATGAGAAAGTTGAATAATGAGTCAGTCGTGGTGAAGGTCAGCAATAAGAAGTCAAGTTAACATTGCATAAAACCCCTCAAATTCAGCTGTGGTCATGCCAGATAGTGTTGCCTATGGGTTTGGGGAAGAGAAGGGTGACTACAAGGGCGCCTGTCTCTGGGATTCTCCTATGCCAGGCAGCTGGTGAGCAGGGCAGACCCTGTGTGGTCTGGAGCATGGGGGGCAGTACCCGATGGAAGGACCTCAGGAAGACTGAGCACTCTGACTGCGAATGTCCCTGCCAGCCCAGGTTCCTAGGACCCCGGTACCCAGGAGATGCCAGCTCTTCTCTGGACAATCTTGATTGGTCCAAAAGGAAAGGCAGAATAATTTTTCAACCTAAAGAATTATGTTATGAGACTGATGTAACTTTGAGGATAGATTATAAAAAAAAAGTTAATCTCACCCAAAACAGAGATGAAAAAGTCCTCGAGCAGATCCAGCACAGCAATATTTAAAAACAGTCTGGGGCCAGTGCTGTAGCATAAAGGGAGACTAGGGTTAAGTCTCCGCCTTCGTGTTCCCGGCGACCCAGCTTCCGATCCAGTTCCTTGCTAATGCACCTGGGAAAGCAGCAGCAGATGGCCCATGTGGGAGACCCAGAGGAAGCTCCTGGCTTTAGTCTGACCCAGCCCCGGTCATTGGCGGCCATCTAGGGGGTGAACCTGCAGATGGAAAATCGATCTGTCTATGCCTTTCAAATATGTAAGTCTTGGGGCGGGGGATGATAATCTTTATAATCAAATACTTTTTTTAAAGATTTATTTTATTTATTTGAAAGAGTTAACAGAGACAGAGAGAGAGGTCTTCCATCCGATGGTTCACTCCCCAATTGGCTGCAACGGCCAGAGCTGCGCCGATCCGAAGCCAGGAGCCAGGAGCTTCTTCCAGGTCTCCCACGTGGGTGCAGGGGCCCAAGGACTTGAGCCATCTTCTACTGCTTTCCCAGGCCACAGCAGAGAGCTGGATCGGAAGAGGAGCAGCTGGGACTAGAACTGGCACCCATATGGGATGCCGGTACTTCGGGCCAGGGCGTTAACCTGCTGCACCACAGCGCCAACCCCTATAATCAAATACTTAACAAAAGTCATTTTCAAACCAAGTCAGGATCCAGGGAGGACAAACAGGTGGGTAAGCTCTGCTGAAGACACATGGCGACGGGCAGAGGTTCTCCCCAGTGATCTGAACTGGAAAAGTGTGGGACTATCTGGGTGAGCACGGAGCTGCCCTCCCCTGTAACTCCGGATGACTGTCTCCGGAAGGCAGGCCCGATGACTCTGACCTCTGGAAGGTCCTGGCCGGCCCCGGGCCTGCTCCGAGGCGGGAGAGTCATGCTGAGCCTGTGTCCCAGAAGCCGAGCTCAGATAAGGAGACGTGCCTCCAGGATGTGGTCACGGCCCGTGCGCTCGCCTCGGCCTCCCCCCAAGAACAGAACAGCTCAGTCTGCTGCTGGCAGCGCCAGGGCCCTGCACTGTAATTCCCGTTCCCGCAGCGTGGTGGGGGTGAGCGCTGCTGCCGGCGGCTGTGGTCGGTCGCTGGTGAACTCGGCGATTCCAGGTGAGCCTCTAGGACACAGCTGACTCAGAACCATGAGCTGCTTGCTTGCGGGGATAACGCTTCCTCCTTGGTGTCCATGACACAAACGGGTTGGAATCCACTGGTCCTCGTCCTGTACACGTTATCACAGAGGAGAGGATGAGGGCCAAGGAGACAAGGCTCGGTTCATTCCAGCTGCGCTTCCGGCCCTCACAGAATGTGCGTCGCTTCCTCTCTCACCGGCTCCTCCAGAGAGCTCTAGATCAGTAGCCATCTCTGCAGCCAACTCTCGAGCCAGGGCAGAGCCACGAAGAACACACCAGGGTGTGCTTGCCCTGGGATTGTAGCCCCCCCGCCATCTCACCTGGCTGGCATCCTGTGGGTCACCCCATCCAGACTCCTCCAGAACAGATAAGAAGTCCTTGGACATCT